GAGAGATATATATATATATATATATATATATATATATATATATATATATATATATATATATATATATATATATATTTCGTCGATATCTTTGCGCCGAAAGTCGGCCAAAATTACATTACGCGAGGCGTGTAGTTAAAAAAGGAAAAAAAAAAGATGCGAGGCACGTGTAATTAGAGTACAAAGAACGTTACACTTCGTGCCGCGAGGATTACCAATTTCATCGCGCCCAAAAGGGCCAATCGAGAATCTCATTGCCGTTTATATGTAGTTAAGTACAAGATAGCGTTTACGTTAGTTCGTTCTAGGTTTATAAACGACCCGTTCTCTGTGAAATCTCATCGAGTCTCCGTGTATTAATGTTAAGCTATAATATACGGAGCACTGAGCTATATCTCGGCTGATCGTCCGGATCGGAATGGCAGCGAGAATGACAGGACGCCTGTCCAAAGACGGGGAATGATCGCTGCATTCGGCGTAATAAAGCGCTTAGCAAGCGACTGCATTCGATTAAATTAGCTCTTGAGTCTAGCCAAGTGCTTCTTCTAAAAGTGTACACTGATCAGATTCACCAGGATTCGTCATTAAGGGACCTCCAACTACAAACTATTTAAGAAACTTTTCGGTTTTTTATCTCAAGTCATTAGAACGAGAGCTATTTTTTCCGCAGCAATATTTTCTGCAAACGTGAGTTCGGCTGCACATGCTGTATATTTACTTATAGATTTTTCTAAATAATAAAAATAGTAATATAAAGTTTAATAGTTACTTAATTAATATATAATGTTTCAAAACATTTCGGTTGATCTATTTTCGCAAAATTAATCTCCAAAAATATACTCTTTTTCAAAGCATTATATTGGCCTCTTAAGCGCTCCGTTGCGTCGAACGCGACGGTTGTTCCCTCTTTTTGTTTTAACCTCTTAGATACTGTACGCCACTATAGTGGCTTTCGCGTATATCATCTTTCTGAACGGTACGCCACTATAGTGGCTCATTCTTATTTCTAATAAATTATAATTTATTCACCTAAAACTGTATTCTAATATACTTGCGTAGTGAAAAGCATTACCAGACACAAATCGCAGTGTTGCATTGTTTTTGCACAATCCGCGTTGAACTTTGTCGTACAGAGATACAGCTCCGCGGAAAGTCCTGCCGTAGCTAAGAGGTTAATGACAACGAAAATCACGTCGCATGCTGCGTGTTTTACTGCCAATCTTTACAACGATTGTAGATTGTTAGCAACGGGTCGATTGATGTAAGAGTGTTAGACCGCCGTCCAATTAATTTTAGCGTACTTCTAATTTACGTCGACGTTAACGCGAGACCTAAAAGCTGCGTATAACACATAAGATGGTTTTTTTAGTTTTCTGATTGTCTATTACGTCAGAGTCTCGTTTCGTACACATTCTGTCCCGTATTTCGTTTCGTTGCTCGTGCACGCACTAAGTATATTCCTGGCATAGAGTGCCTTAATAGCACAAGCCTTATAATCGGGTTGGTGCGAAGACCTACTATGTCGAGACAGACTCGTCTTACATTCGGGTTTTACGTAAGGCAAAATTAATAAACGCGTTTTCTAACGTCCGACAGAGAGACAGTCATCACACGACACAACACGACACACACGCGCGCAGAAACACACATACATGTAGATGACGACAAACCAAATACATCTGTATGTTAAATCGAGACATATATCCCGAGGTGCAACGTAATACACCATGTGGAATAAAAGTTTATCGAACATTTGTTACGAATCAGAAGCACGAATTGTTTTTAATCCGGTATCCCTGTTCATGTTCTTCACCTTCAGTACTACATTACATTAATATGCACTGCCTAGTAAACATCAGCTAACATTACATCAGTGTGATGTTACTTAATTTAATGTAAATGTTTATAATTTTACACTTGATAATGTAACTGCTACATATAGCATGTGTTATTGCAGTGCCCTGGTAAAAAAAGTTTATAGAAAACGATAGAAAATGATTATTTTATTCTATCATTCTCGATAAACTTTTTTTTACCAGAGTGTAGAAGTTAAGTGTAGAATTATAATATTGATATAACGTTAGTTTTAATTGATGTTTATTGAGTAACGATTTGACGTGACCCTTGTCCTTTTTCTTATCTGTTAGATATTAAAATGCTATTAGAGGGCTATTAGATCTATTCTAATGGATTATTCTAATCTATTAGATTTATTATTCTGTTAGAAAAAATAAAACCTCTATTAAAGATTTCAATTCAACGGAGTTCAAGCTTGGAAAAATCCTCTTTAAAAAAAGGCATGTAAGAAATTTAATTATTGCCGCTTTTCCGCGATGCTGATTGGTTCTCTCGCTTAGCTCACTTCATATGGGCTGTGGTTTGTTTTATGTCATTTGCGCTTGTAAAATTACCAGGCAAATAGCTGTCATCACGTTTGTTAAATCACGAAAAAAAAAAATACAGAAGAGATATGTCTCTCCCTGTCTCTCCCTGTCTCTCCTTGTCTCTCCCTGTCTTTCCCTGTCTCTCCCTGTCTTTCCCCGTCTCTCCCTGTCTCTTCCTATCTTTCCCTGTTTCTCTCCATCTCTCCCCGTCTCTTTCTGTCTCTCCCTATAATTATTAATTAATTAAATTATATTTTAATTTAATTTGATTTTTATTTGATTTTTATTTTATATTTTTTATTGTTTTTATTGTTCTAGTTACATTAAAAAATTTACATATGAGACAGTTTAAATTTTATAAAATTTACATTCAAATTTTTTTAACTATTAATTAATATTTTAACTTGTGACTGAGTAATTAGATAATACTCGATGTTCATTGGTCCATATGATCTTATGCTGTACGTATGCAGCAATGTTGCTTCATGTATGTACAATAGACTTTACTTCTAAGGTCATTAGCCGAGCCGTATGCAAGGCGCTTTCTGTAAACCATGCACATGAACTACGTAGCCAATGTCCATGATTTCTTGGTTCTGTTCTGTACTAAGTACACGAATGTCAGGATTAGACAAAGACAGATGATTATTCGCCTTTATCTATCATTCGTGTACTTAGCATAGAATATGCTTCGCGTACAGCTCGGCAAAAGCGACTTATGACTCCTTTTCTTTTTCCCTCTGAGCTGCGTTCCAAAATCCTACTCAGCGAGAAGAGTAACATTCAATTAACCGTCATCATGATAAAGAAATCTTAATGATCTTTGTTCTAATTGGTCAATTAAATGCTACTTTACCCGTCGAGTAGTGTTTTGGAACGCAGCCCTGCACGTAGCTTCGTGAAACTACTATTATCATTCACGCTGATTCAGACTGCAGCTTCTGGTTTACGCCGTGAGTCTGTCAAGATGACGTAGCGTGCGGTAAACCTATCAATTGCGCAATACACCGGTTCTTAAACCATATCTTGTCGATGGTTGCGGGAAACGTCAGCCCGTCTTGACAGTGTCTCCAGCATCGTGTCGCGTGCTCTCTTCTCCGTCGTCGACAAGCAAGCGAGAAAATGCAAATACTACGGCAGCTGGACGTGCATCCGAAGGTGCGCGAGGAAGCCGATATTCTCGTGAGGACCTTCAGCGGTGCTATCGGTAAACACAATCAGAATCGTCGTCTAGAGCGTTACCTGTCGGTTCCGTTGAATTTCCGCGTCAATGACCGTCCCGGCGAAAATTCAGGTTCGACTTCCACGAGGGCCGAACGTGGGGAAGGCGAGGATATTTGCGTTCTGTTAGATTAAGCGATATTCAGTTACAGTGCAAAACTAAGTCGGCAAGTAATTAATCTCCGATTGAGTTTCAGATTCTCTTATATTAGTGTTTATATCATGATGTTTTGAGTTTAAATCGCCGTGACGTGCGTTCGTTTGCGTCGACATCTGTGATGTAGCCGTGTGTTCACTACTCACTGTATTTTTCGACAGTTGATAGGACCCATTATTTACATTTGCACCATAGTAAACAGAATGTATCTTTATTCACACCTCTTTACTGATAAAACTCACTGATTGATAATAATCATCTTCATATGCACACATATGTTAGTGCAATCAATAACAAAATAATGATTTTTCAGTTACAATCATTAGTACTATCATCATGGGCATATTATTTATGTCAGAGATAAATTACTATCTCACGCCAACTATGAGCGAGGAATTATTTGTAGATACGTCTAGGGGCTCTAAGCTAAGAATTAACTTGGACATAATAGTGCCAACTATATCTTGTGATTGTAAGTACAGATTGTGCTTGATATATTGTATGCAGAAAAAGTAATGTAGCCTTTGTATTTTTACAGTGTTATCGATAGATGCAATGGACACAACCGGTGTACAGCATCTGCAGATAGAACACAATATCTTCAAGAGACGGTTAGATTTGAATGGTAAACCCATAGAGGATCCACAAAGAACAAGTATGTATGATATAGTTCAGTAATATAAGTCAAGCAATATAAAACTACACTACAAATATGAATGAATGGGAGGAACTTTCCGACATAAGATTGTTTGTTGCAGATATCACAAAGACAAAAGCTCTCATGAAATCTACAAACGAGGTAGTTGAGGATTTTCATAGGTATATTCTCATTGAATCTTTATTTGTAAATTGGTTAATATTGGACCAAATATTTTTACCAGGAAACACAGGTCAGCTCTACCACAGAGGCCTGTGGGGATTGCTACGGAGCGGCTACCGAGATGTTAAAGTGAGTGGAAATTCGACTACACGTTGAGAACGAATGCCATCGAGTATACACAGGCATATACAAAATTCAACTTTACTGCACAGGTGTTGTAATACTTGTGAGGAGGTACGAGAGGCCTACAGACTGAAAAAGTGGGCCATGCCAGACATGGCTCAGATCAAACAATGTCAAAACGACAAGTCCGCGGACAAGTTCAAGCATGCCTTCACGCAAGGCTGCCAGATCTATGGTTATATGGAAGTGAACAGGGTCGGTGGTAGTTTCCACATCGCGCCGGGCGACAGCTATTCTGTCAATCATGTGCATGGTAAGCTGATGGAATAAACCTCTTCTTCAAGATATCCATCAATTGTCTCATGAATTCATCTTCTCGATGCACAGTGCATGACGTTCAACCTTACACGTCGAATCACTTCAATATGACGCATAAAATTAGACATTTGAGCTTTGGACTCAACATCCCAGGAAAGACAAATCCTATGGATGATACCACTGTGGTTGCTGCAGAAGGTATGTTCTTAGATATTTTATTAAGAATTCAGTATTCCGTAACAGTTGCAAGCTTAGTATAACTATTGCAAACAATGATAAATTGTAGGTACACTAAGATTTACTTCATTCATCCATACATATACATACATACATACATACATATATATACACATTAGCATCTTATTCCTGTTCCAATGGCCATAAACGTACCAAATGTTCCACCACCTTGAAGCATCATTTTACCTACATTGGTGTACAACTCTTTTCCTCTTAGTCCATATCTGGTAAACATATCATCTTGTAAATTTAAATGCTCTGAGACGTTGGATATCTTTGTAGTAGTGATTGTTCTCATACCTAAAGGAAGAAAATCCGCCAAAGAGTGCGCCAGAGCTTACCCCGACGAGGAATCCAATTGCAAAGCCCAATTTCATTCTATCAAAACACGAAGGTCCTTGGCCATAGGCTCCCGTTGGTATGGCGGGCATTTTGCGGAGACTCTAATCTCATATAATGAGCAAAAAATATCTCTAAACTTCACGTACAGTCACTTAAGAGTACTTACTCCGAATTTTCCGTAGCTCATGCGGCGTGCGCGTATTTGAGGTTGTTAACTACATGTGTACTCACTGTAAAAGCGTGCTTTACGTAATCTTGCCGTGGCCACGATCGATCGATCGGTCGCGTTCTTGCTTATCAATGTAGGAAATTTATAGTGCCTCTGCACGATTGCCGGAAATTATCAACGCGTCGCACTCGTACATTACTACAAAATCGCCATGATGGTTTTGCTATAAGAGAAGACGGTCGCGCCGTCTGCTATTTCCGTTGAACGTGACGTCACACGTCGGTACAGCGGATCAGTATTCCGGCATTGAAAAAGTATGCGCGGCATGCACATCAGAATAGTATCTAAGCAAGCAATACGAGATATCGTTGCTGGGCTTTATTATATTATTGCAAAATTTAAAAAAAAATGTAAATATAATATATATGTTTATAAGGCAGAAATTCCGCTTTAATAAATTTGGGAACGCATGCGCGTGCAGCCTCTCCAATATCGGAACACTGCGGCGGGTTGTTTGTATTGTGTATCAAATATAGATAAGAATATGAACTTTCTTTTTAATGAAATACATCTGTAGAATTTAAGAAGAGAATATGGCAATCAGAAGTGTGATGTCTTTCATAGAATGCAATTTGGAATTTTACATTTTAAAGACTTTTCTAAAGTTAGATATATATAGTTTACTTTTGTATAATTTTCCAGAAAAAACAAAAACTATTTTTCTGTTACATTAAGTAGTAGCCTTTGATTTATAATTATTTTAACATAAATATAAATTATTTTTTATAAAATATTCTATTTTATCTGTTTATTATCTTCTGTGAATTCCTCGAGAATTTTCCTGAATTTGTCGAGTCATATTTTAGAGGCAACGATGTACCCTGATTGAGGTCAAAGAGCCTTACAACTGATACAAATTGTTTCCTTTTCCAGGTGCTATGATGTTTTATCACTACATCAAAATTGTGCCAACGACGTATGTCCGCGCGGACGGCTCGACCCTGCTAACGAATCAGTTCTCTGTGACGCGACACTCGAAGCGGATGCCACTGTACATGAGCGATTCCGGCATGCCTGGCATATTCTTCAGCTACGAGCTGAGCCCGCTCATGGTGAAGTACACGGAGAAGGCGAAGTCATTCGGACACTTTGCGACGAACACCTGCGCGATCATCGGCGGCGTGTTCACCGTGGCGGGTCTGATAGACTCGCTGTTGTATCATTCAGTGCGTGCAATACAGAAGAAGATAGAATTAGGAAAATACAATTAAGATTCGGGACCCGGTTGACATCGATTGCGGTCAATCCCGATCGGCACTGCTTCCCCCTTCTCAGCGATTTTCAAACTTTCAAACGTATTTGACAAATTTTTAAAAAATCTGTCTGGTTTTTCATAGCGAAGAGAGCGAACCGCTGAGAGCGGGTCGGGTTTGGCATTAGTAGTTGATGCGACATTTAGGCGAATAATTAAAAAAAAAATTACAAGAAGTATTAATGAACATTATGCTCAAGGAGCATCGACTTTTCTATCGGGGGCCGATATTTTCGCTACGAATTCTCACCGCACGTTTAGTGCTAAATACGGCCGTTAATAATCTCATCTGATTTTCCGATCCGTCTAAGAATCCCGCAAAATATTAATATAAATATGAGTAAATTCACAGGGCTCGATAAATAGGCGTATTTGGCGCTATACATGCAATGCGAATGATGCAATACTCTTTTTCTTTTGTGGTGTAAGGACCATTACACACAAAATGCCATAGCATGTGCATAGTATAAGATTGTCTCGACCAATGAGTATGCTCCGCAAATCAATGTGACAACTTTTTCCTAGATATTCATTGGTTAAGATAGTTTTATGCTATGCATATACAGCTATGTTGTTTTGTTTGCGATAGTCCTAAAGAAAAAAAAAACAAACTATATTATAACGTTTGCTGAGCATATTTTCCGTCGTTTTATTTGTTAACTCTTCATTGCGTTTGTCTAAGGGAAGATTTTATCTTCTACATCTTATTACATAAATATGACATAAAATTTGAGTCTGAAACTTCCTGATTTTTCATTTATAACTCCCTAGATTATATATTTGTATCGTTTTCTCGATTCCGTTATTATAATTTTTGCTAATAAACATTTTGAAAGTGTCAGTACGCGACAGACATATGCGCTACGTTCATAGTGAGAACAATACGTACAACGCGAATCGCGCTGTTGCCAAACAGCGTTGCTGTTGCTTTGACTTTACTCTGGCAAATTAAACAGCTGAATTTTTTAACATTTTAACCGAATTTTCTTATTTGTACAAGACTGTGTTGATGCAATAATAAATAAAATTTCATTTAAAATTTATTTATATATAAAAATTTATTATGTATTTATTACACGTAAAACGTTCGAATAGCAACATGTACTACACACGTGTCAACATCACGCTACACACGTGACATACATACAGACGCGGCGCTCATATGAGATTACATCAGTCAGACGAAAGCAATGGAGGGTTAAAAACACATATTAGCTGCATTCAACAGAGAAAGTTGTTTTGTAACTTCGTGAATCTGATTGGTATATGCTCTTAGATCCTAAAATTAAGAGTATATCCCAATCAAATTTACGAATTTTACAACAGCAGCAAAACAACTTTCTCTGCCGAATACGCACAGTCATTGTATAACTCACAATAATATAAAACAAAGATAGGATAACTCGAAACCTCGAAACTCCTCGAAAATTTGAAAGGTTTCAAGGACTCGAAACTTCGCGCTATTTTTATGATTCGAAACTCTTGAAACCTGAGACGTCAGAGAGATGTCAGTTTTGGAATGCAAACACACTGCAGCATGTGGAAAAAATAGCACACTAACAGACTAGACTAACTGGACTAGATCTCAAAAGAATTAATGTTTTTAAACAAAAACCTTGACTAAATGTTTTAAGTAGTTCAGTGATAATAACAGATAAAAACTGTTAAGAATTCAAAATTTTACGTCATTTTAGTTTTTTTTTTTTTAAATAATTATTTTTATATAGTTTCCATATGTTTAATATTCTACCTAATTATATTTAATTAATATTTTTTATCTAGTTATGTTTAACAAATATTTAAAACTTGATTTTCTGAAAAATTTTGTTGAATTTCTAGTTCCTATATTAAAGATTTAAAAAAACATTTTGTTGACTTTTTAGTTCCTGATAAAAAAGTTCTTTTGATAATTGTGTATTAAAATGTCGATAAAATTGTTTTCCATCAATAAAAATAACCATATTTATATTTTAAATATTAAAAGATTGATTTTTTAATGAAAAGTGTAATTATATAGGAGCCAGTTTTATGTACAATTACCCTCTTTTTTATTAATTAGCATTTCAGGTTTTGATAGTTTTAAGTTCCGAGAGTTTCGAGACCTTACAAAGTTTCGAATTTAGAGGACTTAAAAATCAGGTTTCAAGCTATCCCTAATATAAAATATACTAGAAGGAAACCGAAATCTCATGGTAACGAAAAACGTCGTACTGCCAGAAATAATTTGGACAACAAGCGTGTAATGTGTTTGTCAACGTATTTATTTACATTTACACCGACATCCTTGATGATTAAAACGTTTTTAGGAACGCATTATATATATCGATGGATGTCATCGCGATATGTCTACAAAAGTCTAGGTCTGTACCGCTAACTAAGGCTACTGGTGAAACATACAATGGTTTGGAAGGATCGTACTGCGCTTTTTTCATTTCCACCAAGAACATGTGCCTCTGTCGGAGCCTAGTCGTTCTGCAAGTCAAGATTTGCGGAATTTCCACGATGAAATCACGCGACAGCTTCATCTCGTTATGAGCGTACTCGAATGTACGCATCAGTCTCTCGCGATCTGAAAATGCAATTTTAAGTATTTAGATGGACATAGTTTTTTAAGCTTTAAAACTGTGTTAATCCTAGAACCCTAAATATGGGTCAAATTTAATCAGATCAATTTTTCGTTACGTAACCATTCTTGAGAAGGAACATCAAGGTAAAAATCCTAAAAAATAGATTTTTTTCGCAAGATAATAAATTCTTTTCTGAGAGACTATACAATTTTGGAAAAGCATTTAAAGATTGACGAAGTTAAAGAAGAATTTGTGAAATATTGTCAAAACGCGTAAAGTATTGGTGATTTTAAACTCTTATCTCTGAAGACTATTTTCTTAAAGCTAGCCCGGAAAATATTTAAGAAGCTATTGATCCAATTGATTTCCACCTTGCGGCAAATTCTTTGTAATTGAATTCTTCTTCTTTATATAATGGAAAATCGACTGATTTCCATCAAAAATTCGTAATCTTTTCTTATAGAATCTGCTATTTTGTGAAAAAATTTTTTTAAACCTCTATATACAAACAAAATCATTTTCATATAGTTTCTACATAGTTTTTACTTCATTGACTATAAAAACAATCATTTTGAGCAACTATATTTTTCAACAGAAAATATTTTAAATAAATAAATAAGTTTTAAATAAACATAAAATATACATAAAACATATAAAATATATAAATATATATAAAAAGTTTTTAAAACGTGCGCTAAATATATGTAAAATGACCATTTAAAAAAAATGTTTTGACCATTTAAAAAAATGTTTGTTACTTTAGCAAACTGTAGTTTGCTTTTAAAAATACATTTTGCCTTTTTATAACTTTTCAACTTTATTGCAAAAATATCAATAAAATGTTCCTCGACTTCGTCGAATTTCTATCCTGATCAAGGAAGAAAGAAAAATTACATTTTGAAAATCTTTTAAAAAATTATGAGCAAGTAAATATGCATTGGATAAAATTTACTAACAATTAGGGTTTATGTAGTCCTTTAATGTTTAAGGGTCCTAGAGTTAATGGTTTTGTATGTGCATACTTACTTTTCACCCATAATCTAGGCATCTTAAGGAGCAATTTTTTAATCTGTATATTATCAAATTCCATTTCTTCTTTGATGCTGAAGGTGTTATTAATTATGTGTAACATTTTGTATGTTACCACTTTTGGCCCTTTGACTGCAAAGAGCCTAATTTGTTGGCCAGTAAGTTTGAAGTTGTTCTGGAAGTAGCCGAGTCTGCCGTCGATGTCCTTAGTACTATGTAGCAGCCATCTGGGATTCTTACAAATGATGGTTCCTATCATATTTATGGAGAATTCGTGTGCCCTCAAATACCTTATTCTTGTGTGAAGGTCGTCCATGTCTTCCTTGAAGATGTGAGGGTTCTTGGTGATGAAATAGCCCAGATGATCAGCTGGCACACCGCAGTCATGCAGAAACATGATGTAGGGCTTCACGTCGCGCTCGAAGTCGAGGCCCAGGATGTACTGCACCATTCCCTCCTCGGACTCCAGCTTGTACAACTCCACCCCGAGTTTCACCAGCTCCTGGATCGTGTGCGACTTGTTCGCATACTTTGCGAACGAGAAGGTAGGTGTGAGAGGCGGACCGATGTCGGACAAATCTTCGGTGCACACGTCCAGAGGCTTCGGTAACGTTATGTCGCTGTCGTCGATGAAGTCGTCGGCGTACGGGGAAATAACTGACTCAATGCGGCTAAGTGAAGTGGCGTTATCGTTGAATTTATGCACAGGTTCCGACACATAACCTCCATCGTTGAATTTCCTTGCGTCTTCCGACGAAATATTCGAATTGAGGAGCTTGATGTCCGTCGAGTCGTCGTTATTCTCTTTCGACAGGCACTGCTGAAGTCTATTATTTCGCAAGAGAAATCTGACGACCAAGTTTGTTGTGATACTTCTTGCCGGTCGTGCCGCTGACAGAAGTGAGTAAGTTCGTTGAAATAACATAATTAATATTCAGAATACATCGAAACAACTTATTCTGAAACCTTCTTTTTAATTTAGTAACCTTATAATTGACGTATTATAAGTTATTCTGTTTACTTTAGAAATAAAACAGTGTCTGACTGTCTCGTTGAGTTGTACTATGACACTTCACTAAGGACAGTGGCGGTTCGTAGCGGAGACTTTGGAACTAATTTGTTAGGTTAAGAAATAACGGGTTTAATGTTCGTTTATACTAACTTTAGTTTATTTCACCGGCTGGTTATTCCAACGAAATTGTTTAATCGCATTTCTCGTTAGTCAGAATTGATAGATGCGATTGGTCAATTCCATTGGAATAATCTGCCGATTGAGTTAAATGAAGTTGGTTAAGAATGGATAGGAGACCTGCCAAGATTACTAGACCCGTTATTTTTACAGGTTAAAGGCCAGATAAATTTGTACAGTCATGTATAAGGAAATCGATCAATTGTAATGTATGTATTAAAAAAAAAATGTATTTTACATTAGACACACGATTTCCATTCATTCATCAATTTCATTATGTATATGCGCTATGCAACTATGTAAGTTTGTTTAGATAAAGTCTTCGTGAAAGTTCAAGCATGCATATTCAAGACTTGGATCATACTTAGTTGAGATTCAAATCAGTTCTGTTCAATGAATTCACTGCACACTGATGGATTTAGAATAGAATCTATTTCAAGCTACAGACGCTTTGACGCACGCAAAGAACGACTAAAATTGGTTTATATAACGCTTCGAGGCGTTTGCAGCATTAAATAAATCTTACCCAGAATCAAGTCCATTAATTAATTTTTACGTAATTAGCAAATTAGGCTATTATTAGGTCGAAAGAGAATTTTTACTTTGTCATAAAAAACACGCAAAGTCGAACTGTAACTTTTAACTGTAACTTTACAGTTAAAAGTGATAATAAAATGATTTAAAGATCATTTTATATCTGAAGGTTTCCCATACAGCATAAATATCTAAAATATATCCCAGAGACGTCCCAGATATATCGTGCATCTCTGGAATATATTTTAGATGTTTTTGCTGTATGAGCTATAATTTTCAGGCATGCAAAAATCATAATATTGTCGTTTTTCGCTAATATATATCTTTTTTTTCTATAATATTTATTTGCATTTTTCATTATACCCACACAGCAGAAGTGTCCAAAATATATCATACGGATATCCTAAAGATATATTTGGGATATATGATATCTTCAAGATATCCCTATAATGTATTTGGGACATTCTTGCTGTATGGGTAATATTCACAAGTTAAATGAAGAACGGTGTATATCGAGTTAGATGACAAATAGCGATCATTTAATTTTCCAGCTCACTTTTCAATTTAGTATTTATATGGGAAACGTCTCAAAAGTAAGAGCCGTGTATATTAAAAAGAGGAAATTTTAAACTTCCTATTAAATTTTTAACAAATGTAATGTATCCATAATTTCACAAATGATTAAAGCAAAAATAGTATTTTAATTTTAACTTTGAATAATTCGATGAAAAGAGACAACAACGCAACTTGCGAGTACGCAAATTAAAGAAGTTTCACGCTTTCGAACGATCTAAACAACATTTGTGCGCAATATTTCTTTTACGTAGCATAACAAGTTTTATCAAACCTTTTGAAAAGGTAACGGATTCCGTTTCATGTTCATGTAACACTGCAAAAATAACTTAATCTTTATACGCGATAACATGTATATAAAAACTCGACTTTATACTATATCTTTCTGGAACTGTTTCCTGAAATTGTCTTTATTTTGTTTCTGAACTTACAGCTCATTGAATTATATCCATATTTCGTAATCGAGAGAAGCGGTCGCTTAAATTGTATATCTAATCTATTTTAAGAAATGTTTATGCATAAGACATCATATAACACAGAAACATTTCACTTAAAAAATTACGCTTCCATCTGTTTTATAAACAAATAAATCAATCGTACCAACTGATGTTAGGAGAAAAGGAGATTAATATTCACGATATTATTTCTTATTATTTATGCTTAGGTCTGTCCGATATATAAATTTTGCAGTGCAAGCGTCATATGTTTATATTGATTATATTCGCGAATAATCCAATATACTGCCGGATTTGAAAATGACGTTGCACGTTCATGAGGCATTGCGACATATCGATTGCAAGAAAACGTATAAAAACATCTATAAATATGTGTTTACACTTAACGAGATTTATTATTTGCCGAGTCAGCATATGCATCGCGAACAGGCAAGGACAAGAAAAACGTACGAGCGTTATATGAACAAATACTTTATTATCTTAAAACAGCTAAACCTTTCCCGCTGATAAAAGTTAACTCGTTTCCTGGCACTTGTTCGGAAAATTCACTACAATTAACTGGAGAAAATAATAACGAATATGTGCAATGTCAACGAAAAGACTCGCGTACAAAAGACCTGAGACCAAACGATAAGATAGTTTATTTCACACTTGAAGAGCTTACGCTCAGAGTCTACTCAAGAGTCATATATCTAAAAAAGAAAAAACAAGAGAAGAAGCAAAATGTACAATATGTTACAGAGAGTTAGAAAACTATACAACTCATCAAAGTGATGAATTCGAATGACGTTTCGAATGTATGAATAATTCAGGGTCGTTTAACAATTAACTATTCGAGAGTTGTGAATTAGAAATATGTAAAATACGCCACGCGTTGCACGCAATACATAATCAGTAGTGGGGAAGGGGTGGGGCGGAGACAAAGTTCCATCTCGCTGCACACTCTGCCGCATCCTCCGCGGGAAAAGGATTAACTCGCGCGTTACATATTAAGGCGGCAAGATAATGCGCTTTGATTTACATCAATATACAACTTAGGAAAGCTTGACACGCGATAACAACGCACGCAATACTCGTCTACTCTGACGGCTTGTTACTTCCTTCGAGGAGTGTCATCCGCGCGCACATTCAACACGCTTACTCATGCTCGCACGTATGCACGCACACACACACGCTGATGCACGCATACACAACGTTTTATATCGTGCGCTAGGGCCCTTAATTACGTAATGCTATATTCCGACTCCTTACAGCAGAGCTGTTACGAGGCGAAAGTGAGAGACGCACGCACACACACACACACACATACACACACACATACACACACAACTGCGCTATTATTATGCGATATTATAAGTACGTTAATTACGACATTTAAGAACACTTTGATTCACGACCAGCATCTCAATATATCAAAAAAAACTGAAATCAACTACCGGAATGTTCCTTAATTATAAATGATGATATAAGGTATATAACAGCGTTCGCCGTCGCGCTAATATCGCGCGTAGTTATTGTTCGCTGCGCGCGGTTGATTATCTCTCTCGTTTAATTCCACGTTCGTTTTCCGGCGTCGGCCGGCTCAACTTCGCGATGTCGTTGTAATCACGGCACAATGTCCGACGGGACAGGGGTACCGTCCTAACGGACAGTTTGACTAGGCAGTTCCGACGCGTGTGCTATTACTTTGATACGTCTCGATATATCGTGCTACCGTACTTCGCCTTCCTTTGAAATGTCAAACTGATTAAAAGCGTTATTTCACAATCGAGACTACGGCCGTTTATCGAATCGACGATGGCCGAAGTATACACACAGCAGGCTCGTAAGCGACGGCAGGACGAGAGGAGGGGCGTCGCTGGTTGGAAGTCGAAAACGTAATATACGCCGTGGAACGTGTATCGCGTTCGTGCGTATATATTACGTTTATATCACGTTGTTTCTCTTTCTTTCTCTCTCTGATTTTTGCCGCCTCCTTCGCCACTGTCCTGTACCTTGACACGGACGCGATACACAGCGCTCTGGTGAAACCTATCTAGCTTTTTAAGTCAACGTGTAAATATATAGAGAGTCCGCGCTTTGTCCTTAAATTAAATAAACGAATATCTCCGTATTCCTATTGCATTCTGTCCGCGGTATGACTAGATCTTCGGGTTTCATTCCTGTTTTGGCCGACTGACCCTGCCGTTTGACGCCTCGCCGTCTACCAACTGGCGATTTTTCGCTTGCTGCCGCAGCTGGGCTCGCTTTAGGCTCGTCATCAATTGACTGGACTGATAAAGCCAACTGGCCTGAAAAATCAATTGCGCATGCAGTCGAAGAGATATGATGGCAATCGCGAGTTAGCTCTCGGAGATTAGGCTTAGCACTGCGTTAATTTTGTACACACTTACCACCATAATCATACAATTCATTAGGATAGGTACGGAGAAGACGATGGATATAAATAAGCCTTTGGAATCGAAATATTGTTGTCTGGAGAAGACCCTGTGAAAATAATCGAATTTATTAAATGTGACTCTGGTGTGAAGAATTCGGTGTGAAGAAGGAAATTCTGAGACACATTTTTCCGTAAATGATACCTACATCCAATTAGTCGCTGCTACCTCATTAATACTTTCCGAGAAATAAACAAGAAGCACTGAAACAGAGATTGGCATGAAGTAGTTTCAGTTAAATGGCCAAAGTGAACGACTACGAGTAAACTTACGAAGTACAAGGAAAAGAATGATTTGAAAGTTCGCATGATTCCTGGTCATTAACGCAGTCATCGTGATGGCAATGTGAAAAGTCAACAGTACGGCTAGCCAAGGATCTCTCCAGTCGATCTGTAACAGGAGAACGCGCGCACGCCGTGATAAAACACGAAATCGATCAAAATCGATTTTAATTGTCCGAGTGATAACGTATTTTCGTCAACTTTGGAGTGACCACCAGGGTAATTAGTGCTAGATGCTCTTTCTCGATTTACTTTTTCCCTTAAAGTACTTGAAGAAAATCCCCCAAAATTATAGAAACTTTCTTTAGCCTTCTTGTTGAAAACCATATAAATTTTTTTCGAAAAATACCAGGTATTTTATCTTTAATGATTTTTAAACAAAAATACTTCACATGGAAAGAATATTTTCTCGATAATAGTCTCAAGATATACTTATAAAGTTTTAAAATCTTTCTAACGATTTTTAAACAAAAATACTTCACAGGGAAAAGTTCATTCTACTGCTAAAAAAAGTGATTAGTCTATCTTTCTTTTTTTAGATAATGATTATCTCAAGCAAAGAATTTTTTCTCGATAATAATCTCAAAATATACGCATCATAAAGCTTAGAGAATTTTTTAAAATAATTTTTAAGTAAAAATGTTTCACAGGGAAAAATATCATTCTACTGCTGAGAAAAGCTCAGTTTACTTACTTTCTAAGTAATGTTTATCTTAGGCAAAGAATATTTTCTCGATAATATAACCTCAAAATATATTCATTATAAAGCTTAGAGAGAAAGAGAGAAATTTTTTAAATAATTTTTAAATACTTCACAGGGAAAAGTAATTCATTCTACTGCTGAGAAAAACGATTACTCAGTTTACTTTCACTCTTTTAAGTAATGGTTATCTTAGGCAAAGAATATTTTCTCAATGATGGTCTCAAAATATATTTATCACAATTATATACATACACACATATATATATATATATATATATATATATATATATATATATATATATATAACTTTATTTTTAAAAATTTTTAAATGAAAATACTTCATAGAGAAAAGCACCATTCTACTGTTAAGAAAAGCAATTACTCAGTTTACTTTCCTTTTTTTACATAATGATTATTTCCGGCAAAGAATAATTCTCGATAATAGTCTCAAAATATACTTTTTACAAAACTTAGAAAAACTCATTGTTATGTATTCAAATGAAGAGTTTATTCCCTTTAGAGGAATATTATAAAACTTTGCCGCAGAAAAAATTGGTTCAAATCTATGCAATTAAGCAAATCGAGTTTTTGTTTTAACGTAACATTCTCGATTAAAATGCTAAACCTACTAGGATGCAGAATATATTTTGAACGAATTTTATGCTTACAGTGAGTTTGCAATAGATTTGCGGATATATAAACTTATGAAATAATTTTGAAACAAGTTTTTTGTTACTTATGTGATTTCCTATGCTCGAGAAATGTTTCTTAACATGACCTGGATACAAGTGATCCTGATTGCCGCTCGAAACTCGGCATTTAAAATCGAGTTGGGCAGAAGAATGGGGGAAAGAGGAATTGTTTAGCGTCTGGAGAAGATATTGTTGCATCAATTGCTGTGTATCTTATCTACTAGAGCAGTCTCTCGCGATTGTTCTGGCGAGTGTAGTCGGGAGAGTAAACGAAGCGAGACGACGAACACGTCTCGGTCCTCGTGCCCCTTCTGCTCCTGTCGATGATTTATTTAGTCGCACGAGTAAACTTTAATCGCGCTTTCGCGGAGAAACTGGCCCCCGGAATATTTACTTCGGACAGCGCGTGATAATCCAAAAATATTCGCGCGTATCCTAGAGAGCCACGTCGCTTTTCGTATCTCGCGAGGACCCGATCGGTCGTTTTCACGGCATGTTTCTTGAGCGAGCATGACGGCAAACCCCGACGAAAATAGGACACACCATGCCGGCGAATAACGTCGATCGGCCGATTACAATCGGCGCGACGCAGGCGTCGCATATCCGGCGGTATTGCGTCTTCTTATCGTCGGCCTGAGTTTTTTATTGCGTTGTTGAAGTCGCAACATCGTATTCGCATGCCGTAACCATCGTAATCGATGATAAGACAGATACGCCAAGTAGGCAGGAAGAGAGGGAAAGGGAGAGAAGCAATTAAGCGGCGACACGCGGCCGGTTGTTGCTGACTAGAACTCCGTTGAAACTGAAAGTACCGGAGCGTGCCGGTCAGGTATTCAGAACGTGTGGCCGGAATGCATCGCCGCGTTGCACCCACGTTAAATCACAATATTCACGTGGGTCTATTTCGTCGCTGTTTGTACGAGGGAGATGTATCTCTCCATATTCCAGCTGTATCTTCAAAGACCGCATTGTTTTGTACCTCGGACACTGTGAGGGAAAGTACTTGAAAATTCACTTCTGCGATATGAAGCTTATCTCTGTGAAATAAAGTTCGTTTCTGGGAAAGTTTGTTTCTGCAAAATAAAGCACATTTCTGGGAAACAAAGTTCATTTCTGTGGAATAAAATTAATTTCTGGAAAACAAGGTTTACTTTTGTGAAATATAAAGTTTATTTTTGGGAAATAAAGTTCGTTTCTGTGAGATGAAATACATTTCTGGGGAACAAAGTTTATTTCTGGAAAACAAGGTTTATTTTTATGAAATAATGTTTATCTTTGTGGGAAAAATGACAAATTTTCAAGTGTCTTTTTCTCCGTGTCCTCGAAACTTGTATATATATCCGTTCTACTTGAATTGCAAAAAGAAAAGAAAGAGAGAAAGAATTCATAAAGAATGAGTTTGCACATTAGCAGAGAAAAATTTTGCGTAAAATTGCACTTGCTCTTCTCTCTTCTCACGTTTTCCCCCGCCAGATTTTAAGTATATGCGTCCGTTACTATTGTGTTATTGCGTTTTGCAAGGAATACCGTATTAAAAGCGACAAATTTCTAAATAAGGAAAATCTCGCTGCAATGGCTCGATTTTCCACGCCTCTTTAAACCGTGACCCCGATTATAATATGGATGAAGGAAATAGCGCGGAAGATATAACTTAGCCGTGGTTCCACAGATAAAGACTCATTGGTATTCGTGTTTCATATTTAGTAGCATATATCGGCATGCCTGAATATAACATTTCGGATATCAGAGCTCAAATGAGCGAGAAGTTGGGGACATTCGCGTGTTCCATATCGTAACAAAAAGGATTTTCGTTATTTCAAAAATATGGATTCAAGGTCTCAAGATGCACGAACATCGCCAACTTGGGGAACGCGATCGCGAAACGAAGAAAACCCTAATTCGTCCTGTAACATAAAAGCGTACAATCTTAATTTCGTCGTGAATATAAAAACATCTCTCGAATTGTTGACACAACCGACTTGCAAGGAGCACGAAACGCGTCTACAAACAGACCACCAGAGAAGGCATTAATTTGCGATAAAGGAAGATTAACCTGACGGTTGGCCGAGCGACAGTGAAGCGATATCACGCCAGCGGCCGGCTGGAAAAGGTTAAAGGATCAAAAGAACGGCAAGGACGACGACTCACACTCTGCAGGAAGGGCCATATACCGTCGATCTCGTCCGTAGCTATCAACATCGGGTCGTGGCTCGACATTACGTCTCTCGCACACTGATGCACAGATACTTTGGCTCAAGGTATCGCAGTGACGGCGACGATGATGATGCCGGTGACAATGACGATGACGAAGAGCCGCCGAAGATGTGAGAGGAAGAATCGAATAAGGCGATCGCATCCGCGGCGAAAAACTACGACAAGATCCGCGCACTATTCTCGCAGCAGCGACGCGACTGACTGACTAACCAACCAACCAACCAACCGACCGATCGACCGACCGACCGACGGAGCAAATGACTGTTTGTCTGGCTGAGCTTAACTGGCTGTCCAATTGACGCGAACCGAGTGTATGTATGTACGCGTGTCTGCAGCGTGTGGTAACGCCGTATGCACGCGCCCACGCGCTGGGTGAGACGGAAAATATTTATAACAACGCGGCCGGATACGGCGGCGTGACAGTCGAGAAACGCCGCTCCTCTATATGCATGTGTGCATGTTTCCGTGTATGAAATGCGTAATGCAGGATTCACACCGCGTCCGATGTCCGACGTACGATATCCAATAGGAGAACAGGGCCCTGATTCTCGAAAATATATCACATACATTTAGTGAAAATCTATAGTTCATGTTACGTATACTATAGCTTTTCACTAAATATACGTGATATATTTTTGAGAACCAGGGCCCAGTTTTCTAATATAGAATTCAATTCTCCATTGGAAAGCTATTCTGTTATTGGATATCGGACGTCGTACGTCGGACATCGGACGCGATGTGAATCCTGCATAAGGCTGGTTCTACAATACGTCGTATGTCGGAGTTGGATGTCGGAACGCAATCAAAGGTCCAATCAGGAGAACTCGTCTCGGAAAACAAATCCTCTGATTGGCCCATCGACCACTCCGCATACGACAGCGACATACGACGTATTGTAGAACAGGCCGGAAAGTGTGTATGGCCAGCTTAAAGGAACGTCTACATTGGAAGTAAGCAGTACAAAGTAGGAAGTAAGAATTAAAAATTGAGCAATAATAGTTGACTATTCTTCTCACATTCGACTGTGGTTGGTCAATTTCTTACTCTTACTTCCTACTTCTTACTATTTACTTCCAATGTAGATGTCTTTTAAAGCGTCGTCTACAATATGCGAAGTAAGCTTGGAGTAAGAAGTAAACCGTAAGAATTAACCAATCATAGACGATTATTTTTATCATAATCGACTATGATTGGCCAATTCTTACAGCTTACTTTTTACTCCAAGCTTACTCCGCATATTGTAGACGGCGCTTTACTCGTCCCTTATAAAACTCTATTCAAACTTTTGTGATAAAAGGCCTACTGAGTCAGGCCTGCAACCATAAGAGAGAGAGAGAGAGAGAGAAAAAAAGGCGTTTTTTCGTTTCGTGACCATTGGTTAGTTGGTTTGGTCCACTTAACGCTCGTAACGTCTCGAGCAACAAAGATAGAATGACGCTCATGGCGTTACGAGCGTTAAGTGGACCAAACTAATCAATCAAACGCTACCCTGGTTACGAAACGAAAAAACGCCTAAAGAGAGAGAGAGATAACCTTTCAATGTGTTGCATGTGGTTGCTAACAAAAGTGAATTGTGTCTGATATTATGGGAAAGAAAGGCAAAGGAGAGAGTAATACTCTAGGAAAATCTTTAATCAGAGATCGATTTGGAGCCCGGAAAGTTAAAAAGAAGAATAATGAATCGTCTATGGTAACATCATGAATTTTGTCTAACCTCTTCGTTCAAACATACTACATTATTTATAATCATTGTCATTTGGTTCATTGTCCATAAATTACTAAATAAGTTTCTTGTCAATAAATAATTCCTTAATATTGTCACTAACATGTTTTTTCTGTTTATAGCTCCACACTTCAGAGATCAATGATGGTTATGATTGGGGCCGACTTAATTTGCAGTCAGTTACAGAGGAAAGTTCTTTCCAAGAATTTCTGTCGACCGCGGAGCTTGCGGGAACCGAGTTCCAAGCAGAGAAATTGAATGTTAAGTTTGTGAACTCAAAGAGCGGTTTGCTTTCAAAGGCTGAGCATGACAAGATCTTGGAGTCGCAGAAGAAAAATAAGGATCTCTTGAAGATACCAAGGAGACCAAAATGGGACAACTCCACCACTGCTCAAGAGTTGCTCTCTCGCGAAAAGGAAACATTCCTGCAATGGAGACGTTCCTTGGCTGAGCTACAAGAAACTGAAGGAGTAATGTTAACGCCTTTCGAGAAGAATCTGGAATTTTGGCGACAATTGTGGAGGGTAGTGGAACGCAGTGATGTCATTGTGCAAATTGTGGACGCACGCAATCCACTGCTCTTCCGTTGCGAGGACTTGGAGCATTATGTCAAGGAAGTCAACGCTGAAAAATTAAATATGATTCTCATTAACAAAGCAGACTTTCTGACGAGCGAGCAGAGGCAAGCGTGGGCCGAGTACTTTACAGATAGAAACGTACGAGTAGCCTTTTTCTCCGCGCTATTATCGGCGGAGAAAATCGAAGAGGAGAGCGAGGATGAAGCGAATTCAGAGGACAAATACGAGGACGATTGCACTGACGACGAAAAGGACGAGACCGACAACGAATCTATCTACACCTCGGAATTTATATCGGAATCAGAATACGAAAGTGCGGACGATCATAACGATTCGCTTGCCGCAATCATTATGAAAGAGACGGAGGGAGAAACAGCAGCTCCAGAAAGTGCATTAGAGAGATTAAAAATCCCCACAACGGATTCAAAGATTAAGGAAGAAGTAACCGAGACGGCAATGAATTCTGAGCACGAAGCAGAGCAGAAGAGGATTGTTAATTCGTCGGAATTATTAACCAGGGACGATCTTATTAAATTATTAAAGACACTATATAAGGGTAAGACGTACACGAGCGGGGTGACGACAGTCGGCCTGGTAGGTTATCCGAATGTCGGTAAGAGTTCTACCATCAATACACTGCTGATGGACAAGAAGGTCTCCGTGTCCGCCACACCAGGCAAGACCAAGCACTTCCAGACGCTGTATCTGGACACAGATCTGCTGCTGTGCGATTGTCCGGGACTGGTGATGCCAAGTTTCGTCTGCACGAAGGCGGAAATGATCCTGAACGGCATACTGCCGATCGACCAGATGCGGGATCACGTGCCGCCGGTCGCGTTATTGACTACTTTGATACCTAGACATGTCTTGGAGGATCTGTATGGTCTTATCTTGCCCGTCCTGCAAGAAAAAGAGGGTCCCAATCGGCCGCTAACCACGGAGGAGCTTCTGAACGCACACGGTTGTACGTAAATTGACCCAAATTGTTACTTAGAAGATATCTGATAATTCATAATACATCCATTGTGGAACTGAACACAAAATTTCTCCACCATTTTGTGGACCAGGTAAATTTTCAGTTATTATTTAATTAAAGGAGTTGGTGCATTATCCCGCACAATCGTGTATCAATCTTTTTTAATTAATTAATTAATTAACTAAAAACCTACACAGTTATTTACAATATGGTAGAGGTATTTTGTTCATATAACAAAAAATGTTACATATAACAAAAAATGTTCGAAAATAAGTTATATATAATTAAATAATTATATGTAACAATATATATGCACACAAAGTATTTCAGAACAACTTTTGCAGCTTTCGTGGAGATATAGTACGGATTGAGATGAACATAAACTCTTTAATTCGTAATCTTTATTCTCTATGAGAGTTTCAGAGGTTGTTCTAGGACATCATATATATAATATTATATATAGTTATTATATAATATTAATAATATATTATTATTATCATTATTAATATTAGTAATAATAATTAATACTATATATATAAAACAATATTCCATGTTATAGTGAAATATTATTGAAAATGTTAGAATCAAAATTTGTACCACGCTTAAGGCTTTCGGTTCCGCTGCTGCGGAACTCTGAATTGATGACGTCAGAAACGAGAAAACGTATGCCAAAACTGTTGTGTGCCATTTTCAAATAAAATTTGTAATGCAAATTGTATAATAATTCATACAAATAATATCCATATGAAAGAAAACTTGAAATTGCTTGAGCATACTTGCAAAATGTTCCAGAAAGTATTCTTTTCTCTCGACAAACAAATAGCCATAAAATTAACGTGACAAAATTATGAGGAAGGATAGCTTAAAGAAGAAGGTTGAATGGCATAGTTAATACAAGACCATTTGTTGACTGCTAAAGGAAAATGATAGTTTTTGGAGCGTTTTGCAAGTATATTCAAGCGAGATATTCAAGCGTATATTCTTTCATACAAATATATATATTTTTATTTGAAAATTACGTGTAAGATTTTTCGGCATACGTTTTTTCACTACTGATATTAATTCTGTAGTAGTGTGACTTTAATCACCTTTAAGGAACCTTAATCACTTTTATATTCACATTCTATAATGATGTTCTGATTCATTATAAGAGATACTCCTCATTTGTCCTTTTATATTTATATTTATCTACAATAATGTTCTGACTCATTATTATATTTCTCATTTGTCTTTTTGCCAATGTTTTTATTAATTTTTCATTTTATGTTATATAAATCATACACACATAGTGGAGCTGTGCTCTGAATTGTGTCCAATGTACATACACTTCACAACGCTATTTTAAATAAATGTTCTCCATCTTGATTGCAGATAACAGAGGTTTTATGACGCAGAATGGTCAACCGGACAATGCTCGTTCAGCAAGATACGTCCTTAAGGATTTTGTTAATGGCAGATTATTGTACTGCGTCGCGCCACCAACGCACGAGCAAGAACATTTTCACATGTTCTCGCCGCGACGCCGTGTCCTCTCTGCGAACAGGCACATACCGCCCCGAGCGGTCAGCGTAAACAAAGGGAGTCAGATAACGGAGGAGGAGTTCAACCGTATGTTCTTCCATGATAAATCATCTGATGTACATATCAAAGGGGTCCTCGGCAGACGACACGTGCCGCAACATTCGTTGTCTACGTACGTATCAAAAACACTCGTTTTACATTCGCTAAATCTTTCACGCTGTAAATCTCTCCGTTACATTAGGAGACGTGTGTAAACTTTTGGCAGTATCCATTCGACGCGGCGAACGCTTCGAAGCGCTGTACAGACTAATCATAATCTTTTCTTATGTACTCCAAAGTTTTTGCAGCTTCAAATGGTTCCTACCCTTAAGTCTTAAATGTATCTTATGTGGCTCATCCTTAAAGGATTCGTCCCAGAACATTAATTTCGAGCAACTGTTGCACGGTTGCAAATAACACGATTCGTTAAGATCTCATTCATGTACAATATTGACTTAAAAAGATTAATCGCAATAAAATCCAAATATCCGGAATAGTATCTCGTTTCGCGCGATGAAAATTTACACAATTGTCGGAGCTTTATCTCGTCGTTCATATAAAATTCACGGACTAATGCAATCTCCTTTAATTATTTTTCAGAAATTCCGAATCAATGATCGGATCCATGCAGAATCTGTCGGTCCGTGAGAAACCATGGAAGCAGATAAATAAGCACGCCAACAAAAAGAAGCGCGAAAAAGGACGAAGATTGTACGCTCATCTCGACCGGCATTAAGCGCGAGAGTGTCGAGTTCTGTACATGTTGATCTGCATCTAATTGCTGATCGCAAGAGCACGGGATCTCACATTTTGTCTTGTACACTATAAATGTACATACGTGAAAATTTGACTTGCGAAAAAGTGATTTTACAGTTTGTCTCTCAGCATTGCTTTATTACTCCCCTAATATATCACGTCGCACTAAAAACTCGGCACCGACTGCCGACAGGCTGCGGTTCAATCGCGTTGTACCGTCGCAAGCCTCGCAACCGTAACTTCGATTCCGGCAACGAATCGTAGAAATTAGATTCCGCGCAGAAATCGGATTTCGAATAGTCGTTTCTGTTAAGTAGGAAGCACAAGTAAATTCTTTTCATTCATATCAGAATGCACTCTACACGATCCAATGGACGAGAGTGTATACGCGACAAACGTAGTTTTAACTTATGTATAGATATAACTTCTCTGTATAAATAAGTTGTGTATGTAAAGTTTGACGAACACCATCTGCCAGATGGCTATTCTCACGGGTAACAGATCTTCAGTAAAACAGCACGGTGTGCAATATCGTTCTCGAGAATTTCGATTCGAATTCGTGAAGTAATTCATCTATGTCATTGTCTAAGTCCTCGCTATTCGCTAGCTGAAACACAGAAATTCGCATGTTATCGTATAATCGAACTGAAGCAAGATCGATCAAGAACACATATAAAGCACGTGAAAAATATGATACCACTGTGACTAGTTCGCATATAAGAAAGGATCCTACGGTGGCCTCTTCATGATTATCTTGAATATCAATATTGATTAAATGCACAGGCTGGTTATCCTCTTGAGTTCTAGATTCCATACATTCGATCACTTGATCATATACACGCTCCTCACAAGTGATCAGAATATCAAACTTATCCTTGGACAATTGAAATCTTTCTGGCCTAGGCTTTATCCGACGGTTTCGGTCCAACATATGCAATAAACCATTCTGTGTATAACTGCATTGATTGTTCAGGAATGCTTTTTTTTTATCTTGGTGTTATCATAGGTTTGTCCTTTTTTAGCTGAATCAGATTGCACTTTCAGCCTTTAGAATGAAACAAATATGTATCTTAGTGTTGCAGTTCTAGTGCGACACCAGTTCATCTAAAGAGGACAGTCACACATTTGTAAAAAGTTGAATAAAGAATGCGGTTGAATACTCTGACCAACTAATTATTTTCTGTAGAATAGTTTACATTACAAAGTTGTAGAAATTTGTAGACATATTAAAGTGAAGAGAAGAGCCAGAAATCCATTTAGAAAAGTTAATCCATGAATTACTAGCTCAGTGCAGAAATTACAAAGGTAACAAGGAACAGGATAGATCTATATTTACAATATCACACATGTATAATGCAAATATGTCAAGAAGCTCATTTATGTTAAGGATACTATTGTTTGTCTTTTGATAACAGATCATTGTAGATCTCGTCGTATGATGTTCCAAAGTCATAAATATTAGGGCGATCCGGCGCGTTTCCAGGTAGCTTCACTTTGTCGCCAGTCCCAAATGATTTCACATTGAATCCCTTTTTGCTGAAACAATCATATTGTCAAAATATATTTATGTCAACCAGGTGAGTGAATCTTGTTTAACCCAATGAAGTCATTCAAAACTTCAAGATTTTCTTCTCTTGACAAAAATCTTCGAATTGAATGTACAATGCTTTCAGGACTATATGGAAATGAAAGTTTAACAGTCCTCCACATAAGAAAAGTGATGATCCGAGTCAGCTATGGGATAGCCGTTGCTCCAGTGGGTTAATCGCGCGATCGATTACCTCAGGAAAGCGTGCGCTTCCATGCTTCTGTTCATATTACTAGAACAGATAACAGCTACGCTGATGGAATTCGGTGCGGGCATCTTTTCGTACGTATTTTTACAACTGAAAAACGCAATGGTATACAAAAACCGTATCGTCACCTAACCTGAAAAAGTGTTCTCGCGTTTGGAGGTTAAGTCTGATACATTTAGTAAATCTGTGAATTTTAGTATCTACAAAAAAGTACTATTTTTTTGTACAAACAAATGATAAAGTGCGACGGGGGAATGTAAATACGATCTGATCGATTCGTTTAATGATAACAAATTAATTGTTCCTTAAACAATACGAAATTCTGACGATAATTGACGCGACAATTACGGGAATCGCGAACGGTATCGCGACCCAGGCTTTGCCCCTACTCTGCCAATAGAGTCCGTATTAGTTAGTGCCATCTGTGGGTGCGTTCGGGAATCTTATCGTCAGGTAGAGTAAGGTTAACACTGCAGGCGAGCACGTGCAGTACTTAGGGCTGCACTTTTAAAATTAACGTATCAACATGAGTTAGATGTTGAACACGTTCAAGTGAGTTAAGGCCGTATTAAAAACGGAATAGATAAATTAAAGTCATTTTTAAAAATGAAAACACCACACAACTGATTTCTTTATTTAGATTCACAGCTGCCGAGTGCTAGATCCACACTGCAGCGCTATCTGTCCGATAATTCAGAAACCAAAATTGCAACACTTAGTGCTGCTACACATCCGCTAGAGGGTTAAACATGGTCGAATTGAATTTATATTACTCAGAGGAGCTACAAAGCAATTTAGAACGCGTACATAGTAGGGTAAATAAATCAACGATAGCGCAACGAGAGACTTTGTGTATTTATATATATACAGGATCTCCCACAGACTATCTTCCGCAATTTTTGTGAGAACATAATCTTTGTGAGAATGTAACTGTTATATAATATATGCATTTGCATTTATATTGTTAAGGAAATTATCATTGAGGTTATGTTATAGTTGTTATATTTATTTCATTAGTTTGTTTGTGCAAAAATCATTTGTTTGTACAAAAAAATAGTACTTTTTTGTTATATTTATTTTAAAAGGTAGGCCAATCATGGATTTGTTCTCTTAGCGTAAATTTGTGAAAAGTGAAAATTCTAATCTTGAAAATATATAGAAATACTTATTTTTAACGAGTTTACATTCGAGGGGAAGATTCATGATCATCATCGAATAGTGAAAGAAATTATTTACTTTTTCACTATTCACAATATTTCGTGATAGGAAAAAATCACATGATTGATGAGTAAGATCGAGTTCATGTGAAAATGATTAATGTTTAGAATTATTATTTGTATTGAATGGAGAAATTGTTTTCAGATAGAACTAATATTTCCAAGAGAAAATACACATATTCAAGCCGTTGAATTATATTTTCTACCTACATACTGAAAAGAAAATTTCTAAATTAAAATTAAATTAAAATTAATGAAATACGAGTGAAGATAATCTTATTATTGAAGAAAAATGAAAGAAACTGCTTATCGCTGGTTAGTCAATAGAATAATATCTCGTACAATTAAATCTACGTGTTCTGAGAATATAAGGATACCCTCAGGACATCTCTTGGAAGTGTTTGCTGATGACATTTTTAGAAGATTCAATTATTTCATGCGAATTTGCATGACTGTTAATATTTAAACAATAACCTGCAAAGCATTATTGTGATACAATTTGATTATTATTTCATTGTGATAAATATGAATCGATATTCCGCGCAAGGCGCTTCGAGTATATCGATACAGAATGTATCGATACAGGTCGATAACGATGTCACTGTTAATCGATATTACCGTTTCGAGAGATACAATGAGAGATAGTAATGACGGCTTGGCCTTTAAACGCGGGCAATCGTTCCATTTCTCTCCACAATTTCGGCTTGTAAAAGATGCGATTCACGCTCGAATTATTATCGTCGGGAGTGTCCAAAGCAAGAGTCATCCGTCTGCTACGCCAAGGTATCTCCAAACAGTCACTGGAAGTCTTATATCTTGCGAGTCGGACTATCGGCGACTACAAAGAGAGGTATCGCGCATTTGTTGTACTTTGACGCTGTAGTTTAATGCTCCTTAGATCATCGCATGTTACATTTGCAAATTGCTGAAGCTTAGAAAACAGTCCTAGGAAAAATTCACACCTTGACAGAAAAGCAGAAAATAGGAAGACAGAGGCCAATCAGAACTCGCGCTGATAGAAAAGCAGAAACTGTCGATTATTATCTGATCAGCGCGAGTTCTGACTGATATTTCTGCTTTTCTGCCAAGATATAAATTCTTCCTCACGCTCTCGAGACATCGCCGGAAGCGCCGAAAGTTTCGCGCGTCATCATGACAAAGTGCCGCCAAAAGTGAGTATCTCGAGGAAACGGGTCGTCGGGAGTGCCGAGTGAAGTTGCGCGAATTGCCACGTTCGAGAATCGCAATCGTTGCAGTATGGCGGTCAGTTATAGGACGGATCGCGGCGCGATAGCGCGGAGTCGTAAAGTCTTCCTGTATTTACGCGTCTCAGCTCATTAAGAGAGAGTCTCGCGCGCGGACGATCGTCGTACGGGAATGCCGAAGGTGTTTCGCGCGTCTGTACCGGCGGAACTTCGTGAACACTCGTCGAAAGTTGGACATCTCGCGAAACGGACCGTTGAGTACAACCAAGTTCTGCGCATTTGTCGTGTTATGGTAGGTCGAAGTTCGTGTCTTCAGACCGCTGCGCTCTGCTCCTTCAACCCGCTGAGGCAGACCTTGGCATGCGAATGATCAGAGGTCAAGAGTGCCGGGCGAAGAGTTGCAGCGCGTTACGACAGGGGTGACATCGCCCTCATTTTACGCCGCCGCCAACTCTGCGAATTAAAGAACGGTGAGTAACGGTCAAGTGATAAAGTAAAACGATGTAACGGTCAACTATGATAAGGTAAAAATTGCTAATTATTGACATCGCCCTTAGTCGGGCGACACACATCGACACTCTAGAAACACCTGATTTTTCTTATGGGCAGCATTGCAGTAAACTTCTTTTCTGCACTCTACAGAGAGAATATATCGTAGTTTTTTTTATTTTATATAAATTGTTCTCAATTTTACTACACAGAGAGAAAAAATATCAAAGGAATAAAAAATATTTATTTGGAGTATACTATAATAACATATTTATTTATATTAACGTAAAGTATTTTTCAAATAAAAAATCTATATTTTCTCAAAACTTTAAATTTTTATGAAAGCAATTGTTTATTCTATTTAAATAAAAGATTTAGATTTTTAAAATTAAATTTAAATTTAAGTAAACATGTTAACATCCAGTGAATAAAAATATTTTTATTCACTGGATGTTAACATGTTTACTTAAATTTAAATTTAAGTAAACATGTTAACATCCAGTGAATAAAAATATTTTTATTCACTGGATGTTAACATGTTTACTTAAATTTAAATTTAAGTAAACATGTTAACATCCAGTGAATAAAAATATTTTTATTTTTTAGATATTTTTTTAGATATCTCAGTGTAATAAAGCAGAGATAGCCTGCCAATAAAATTCATCTTGTAAAAATAAAAAATTTTTCTAGGAATAGCAAATTTGATATACTATATTTTTGAAATATAAATAGCACATTGAGGGAAAAGATATTTAAATAATAAGAAATATTTATTGAATGGATGATAATATATATTTACCCATATTAATATAAAATATATTTCTCAAATAAGAAAATATATTATATATATATATTTTTTTTTAATATCCCAGATTTTCATGAAAGCAATTGTTTATTATATTTAAATAAAAAATTTAGATTAAAGTATTTTATTAGTACCCAGAGAATAAATGTTTATTATTTCTTAGATATCTTTTCCCTTAGTGTAATAATGCAGAAATAGACTAGTAAAATGTATCTGCCAAGGAATGTAGTATTTTCGTTATGAATATAACAAAACTTTTAATAGCACATTTAAGTTTCTGAAATAAATATTGAGAGACAAGATATCTCAACACACAAAATATCAAAGTAATAAAAAATATTTAATCTACTAATATTATATAACATATTTACGTATACTAATATAAAATATTTCTTAAATAAGAAAATATACATCTAAAACCTCAGTTTTTCATGAAAGCAATTGTTTATTCTATTTTTCTATAAAAGAATTTAAATTTAAGTAAATATGTTTATTATTATTATCTATCGAATAAATATTATATAATTTTTAGATATTTTTGTCTTTCAATGCCAGGTGAAATACAAGAATGATAGGTTTCTGCAAAATGTCGACGCAGAATATTCCTCAGTTACAAAATTGTATAGTAATTTCTGTTATAAGATTCTCTCCAGATAGATTTGAAAAGTAGATCTTTTAATTAACTTCATGACTAAATTTATGAATAAATGCGTTGGTTCAAAGAAAACCGGCTTTTCCTAGAATGTCAGTGACTAGGGAAGATGTCAATAATTGGGTGTTTCGTTGAAAATAAAGTACCTATTGTGTGTGTCGACTCGTATGTTTCACTCGCGAATTCACATGAAATATAAAGTGACTCGCGAATTCACATGAAATATAAAGTGACTCGTGAATTCACATGAAATATAAATTGACTTAGAATATAAAGGAAAAAGTAAAAAATGTTGTTAGTATAGAACTAAACATCGAAAACAATACATGAAATACTAGAGGAATATTTTTTTACATGCAGATTTCAAGTGTCATCTGTCGACGCGTTATTCAATTCGCGGATACCGTTAAACGGTATCGCATCGCGCGTTCTCCGAATTGCGCGCGGAATTTGCGCGAGCAGCGACTCGACGTGGAATTAAAGAGGCTTGTCGTTAAATTGCATAATGTCGGTCGCGGATCTCTTACAAAACCGCGAAATAATGACTAGCGTCGCGTACTTTGCCAATATACCCGGTGACTCCGCTCGTCGCGGAGGAAAATTGCGTGTCTCGATCTCGAAGGCCCGAATTAAGGCGGGGCCCGGGCCTGGACGAGACTTCAATTTCGCGCTCGATAGCTCTCACAAGACCCTACTCGATGTCGCGGTCGTCCGAAAGTGAATACGATATTTCGAACGAGCGGAATTCGGCTTGTCATGGATAGAACGAGGGAGATGCACGAGATGTCGATGACGTAAATCACGTAATAACACGTTTGTCGCGAGCTATCGTACTTCTACCGCATTACCTTTGAACGTGGGTTCGTCGGCCGCTTCGTCTTCTCGGCAAAAATGCCGTAGCACTTTGTATAAAGTCTTTAAATAATTCAATTTTAAATTAACCACATTGAATTAATTTATGTATACATTGACAAAAAAATATTTGAAAGTTTATTCGTATATAAAGTTTATT